TGACCTCACGGGTCAACACAAAAGTTGCCCTGAAATTCAAGTACATGTGCGTAAATTATAAAAAATGGGGTATTTTTTCAGGCGCCTGGGAGGTTCAGTCAGTTAAGCATCTGACTTTTGATTTCAGCTCAGGTCATGGTCTCACAGTTCGCGAGCTCAAGTCCCACATCCGGCTCTGCGCAGACAGTGCGGAGCCTGCTGGGGATGCTCTCTCTCTCTCTCTCTCTCCCTCTCTCTCTGCCCCTTTCCTCGTGCTCACGCTCTCTCGCTCTCTCTCTCTCAAATAAAGAAACTTTAAAAAAAATGGGGTGTTTTTTAATACTTTGCAGAAAAAAGAATACATCTTTTAAAGTGAGACTAACCTTGCTAACAAAGCAAGAGCTAAATTCTTGCATTAGCTACTTCCCCTCCCCTACCAGGGAAAGTGATATGTGTTTAGCCGTAACATGTGTTTAGCAATCTGACCTGCCGGTTGAAGGAGATTCAAAGTAACGTTTCCCCAAGTTGATTCTACAGAACACTAGCTCCTCTAACAGGTCACCTGTTACCTTAAAAAAGGGTGTCAAGTGATCATGAGTTGGGAGACGATGTGTTAATCAGATTTCTTACCAGCAGAACTTCCCAGAGCCTTTAATTAGCTAATGTGCTACCTGACGGCTCTCCACGAGGTGAACAGGTCTTGTAAGGATTCCCAGTTTATACTCAAGGGTTGTTGACTGGTAAGAAATTAAATGTGAAACCCTTTTTTTTTTTTTAATTTTTTTTTTCAACGTTTATTTATTTTTGGGACAGAGAGAGACAGAGCATGAACGGGGGAGGGGCAGAGAGAGAGGGAGACACAGAATCGGAAACAGGCTCCAGGCTCCGAGCCATCAGCCCAGAGCCTGACGTGGGGCTCGAACTCACGGACCGCGAGATCGTAACCTGGCTGAAGTCGGACGCTTAACCGACTGCGCCACCCAGGCGCCCCAAATGTGAAACCCTTTTAAGGGCATCTGCATGTTTTATCCCCAAGAAATTAGTCTCATTGATGACCATGAAACCCTTTCATCATAGAACATTCTGAGAATTTATTCTGTAAGACGCAGCCCAGAAACGTTGTTCAAGGACCTAATCTTGCAAATGGCCCAGCCACAAATTAGAAGAAGTTTTCAGGACAATGCATAAAAGGGTCAGACCTTCTTTCCCAAGTCTCAGAAAAACCCACAGATGTCAGACCTGGGCCACAGCCACATCTTTATGCTGTATGGATAAAGATGACACCTGTCCAATGAACCACTGACCTGGATCCCAGGATCACCCTCAGAGAGGTGGGGGAAGAATAAAAGAAAGCAGGAGATAAGTGAAACAACTTTCATGTGTGGGGGAAGCTTGGGGGGAAAGCTTTATTTAAGAACAGGCCATATGGGGCACCTGGGTGGCTCAGTCAGTTAAGCATCTGACTTCAGCTCAGGTCATGATCTCACGGTTCGTGAGTTCAAATACCACATCAGGCTCTGTACTGACAGCTCAGAGCCTGGAGCCTGCTCCGGAGTCTGTGTCTCCCTCCTCTCTCTGCTCCTCCCCTGCTCCCACTCTGTCTCTCTCTCTCTCTCTCTCTCAAAAATACATAAACATTAAAAAACTTTATTAAAAAAGAAAAAAGAACAGGTTATATGTATGCCTTCTAGCTGGTCGAGGCTGGCATCACTACTCTTACATCACATGATTTAGGCAAAGTAGGACTTTGCCTGGTTTAAGGGCCACAGAAAAAGTCACTGCATCTCACATACTATCCCCAACCAGCCTGCCTTAGTAGTTGAAATTCTACCATCTGACTGATATCTGTTTCTGTGGATTAAATCGCCATGGCTAGATAACCTGAAAATGTGTTTAGCATGGTATTACACATATCTTCTTATCAGTCTAGAACACTTGAGTATAAATTACTCTACCAGGCTCCTATATAGCTCATCATCTACCTGATAACAGGCTTTACAGAAATGGATACAGGATGAGTAAGCTTAGATTCAGGATGGGGGCTGGGAAAAGACAGAAGGATAGCAAAGAGCATCCTGGGAAGACACCCTAGGAAGACCGCTACGGCTGTGGGGAAGGGCAGAGCATTTCCTCACAGACCTCACATGATTTGCCGATTTCATGAAAGTCCCCCTTTGGAGGACCCCCCTCACCCCCCGCTCAGCCTCACATCCCCAGAAATGTCCTTGGAACAGAAAAGCTCATCCTCTTTAGAACAAAATGAGCCTGGGGGTATCCTTCCAAAGAACTCCAGGGACACCACTGACATCCTAAATGAGAGGCCTCTCCCAGGGGCAGGAGAGGCAGGGACCCTGAGACCCTAGAGACACGGAGGCAAAGTCTGGCCGGCCCACAGGCCTTCCCCGGGGACGCCTTACCTCACGGTGCCGCAGCTGCAAATTCTGGCCTTCATAGTACAAATTATAGGTCTTCAGATGCAGGAGAAGTTCGTTCCTTAGGGGAAAAAAATACAAAAGGTGTAACACTCTTAGCTGAAGCCACTGAATGCCGTCATTCCCTCTTTTCTCACCTCTAACCTGGCCTTCAGCCACCCCAGTCTGGGTGTCTGTCCACATGCATGTACACACACACACACACACACACAGCCACCACCCCCACCTTCATGTTCCCCCAAGATCCAGGTCAAGAGTAGACACCAACCGTAAGGAACAACTCCAGAAAACCAAGGCAGGCCACGCCTGCTGACGAAGCCTGGCAGTTCTGACTACGCTCCCTAAACCCAAGCTAAATACGCCGTCCCCCATGAGGCACAGACTCAGAGGCCAACGCACTACAAAGTCCACAGACAAGGTTTCTCTGGCATCTCCACTGTCTGTCTTCCCTCACATATGCTGTGAGTTAGGACAGGATGATTGATCCCTGTAGGCCTCCGTGAGACTCAGAAACTTCTGGGCTTTTCAGAAAGTGAAAAGGTCTGGACCCCACCGACTTAAGCTTCATAGACATGACCTTAGGGCGTGTTTAAAAACCTACAAACTCCCATCAACAGTGGAGTGGATGAATAAAGGGAGCTGAGTCACATAGTGGAATATCACGTAGCTGCAAG